GCCATTCCATCCGGTTTAATTCCCACACATAAAAAAATTATTGTTTGGCAATACAGGCTTCAAACCAGGACTATACCAGGAACGTGCAACACAAACTGAACTGTCTAGTACTTGAGGCACGCAAAGTCACACATTCAGCCATACTCCTCCGTGTGCAAACACTTGTAAAAAAATCTTGCTACTGATGACATAATAACACAACAAATTATACTTGCAGATCATATTGCCTTGTACTACTCTTGGCCATGCAAAGCAAATCCAAAAGAAATTTCACAACCTGATAATCAAATGTAAGTGCTTGTCATAAATAAATCTCTCATGTTTTGGGGTTCTTGATTTGCAAGTCTCTCATCATGCTCTCATACGTGTAGAGATAATGAGCAGCAATAATAGCAGAGTACCACAGATGTGCAGCCACAGATAAAGAAACATGCTAGCTAGTGCCAAAAGTGACAAAATGTGCACCAAAGGATGTCCAAAGCATAATTGTGTAACCAGTTTGAAAACATAATGTCGACGAAATATGGTCGGCAGTCTAGGTATGCCCAAGGTAGTAGTTTATCGGCAGACAGGTGCGCAAGCTACGAACGAGATGGTGACGCAAGACAGACACGAGGTTTTATCCAGGTTCGGCCACCGTGAGGGCATAACACCTACGTCCTGCGTCTGATTGTATTGCTGTATGTAATGAGATGTTTTTCGAGGGGGTCCCCTGCCCACCTTATATAGTCCGGGGGACAGGGTTACAGATCTGGAAACTAATCCTAGCCGGTTACAATTGTCATCGATGGCCGTATAAGGATTCCTATTCTAGCCGACCAGGATCTTGCTTGATCTCCAATTCTATCTTGGTTACTTGCGCGGGACTCCGAGCAGATCGATTGGGCCGCGCGTCGTCTCCTCATGGGCCGAGCCCTCTGGTCTGGGCCAGCCCAAGTCTAGCCGTAAGGGTATAGGGGTTAATACCCCCACACATAAATATTCTATATTGTCAAAGCAACAAATAAATCCTCTTCTTGTACTCAGACTCCTCCTATGGCAGTCCAGTAGCTTTCAGTGTTGACCTTGGAGCCATTCTGTCACCCTGGCGTGCTCGAGTGCGGCCCTGCAAATGGGTGGAGCAACATTGTTTCATACTCGAATTGTTCTGATCAGCAAATGAACAGCAACTTGGAAGATGTTTAGACTCAACAGAAAAAAGTGGTGGTTCAGATGAAACGATCAGCAACTACACAGTACAGTGTGTATAGAAGGGTGCCAAGTGATGACTGCTAGTTACTTCAGAAATTCACATCAGAAATGCAGACAGAGGTTAAGCTACAGGTTTGGGTGCTCTAACCTAACCTCATTACAATACAAATGGCAGTCTATGATAATTACAGGTTGACAGCCAAAATCCTTACTTTGAATTGCATTGTATATTTGAATGAAGATCAGTAATAAGTTTTTTTTAGATAATGGAACAAAGTTCCATAGTACTAAGATATACAAAGACAGTTCCCTTGGACATGGCATCCAATTCCAAAGTACAAATTGCACACTCAAATTCCAAGCTACTGCTGAAACCAAAAAATCTGTAGGAATCATGCCTATATACACACATACACACTGATCATAATAAACTCATATTTGGAACCAGAGAATGATGCAATCAAATTTTGCCACAAGTTCATTAACCATGCCGATGATGATTCTTTTCTGTGATCTAAAACTGATTGCAGTTATCTTAAGTGCTAACATGGCAAAAACAGGTCTCTGAATCTGTCCAGAAAACATAGCACATCTAGAAAACTGAATCTAACAGTGCTAAGGAAGGAGGATCATGATACTTGTAGTTAACGTAGCTAACCTACAATGTTACAACTTGGCTTCTCAAGACTTAGTTGCTTCTTTATCTAGTTCATCAACAACACGAGAGCCAAAAGAAAGCGAAGTGCTAGTTAGACTGACCTGGAGTACCTTCTGGAGTTGCTACCGCATCCCAAGAGGGCGGAGGTTCACCTTCCCCTACTCTAAGCGGTGCTGGTGAGATCTACAAGTAATAAGAAAATGTCTGTGTTAAGAAAAAAAACACTTGATCAAGGAAATTAGTGGCATAGAAAGAGCACAATAGTTATGTGACTGACCAAGCCTAGAGAACTCAAAGTTTTGCAGTGATTAAAGGACTCTTGTAGTCAAATAGAAAAAAGCATCAAGTTTTCAGCAATGAAGTATACAAAATATACAAGGTGCATCAGAAATTTGAGCATCAGAACATCGCTGCAAAAATGCTAACCAGCGAGCTCAAATGATTAGTGAATTTCATTTCCCGCAACTTTGCTAACTTCCTAACATATAGAAATGGAAATGACTGCAGCCAAGGAAAAATATTGTAGATTCCAATTTCACTTGAGGGACAAAGGGATAAAGTCACAAATCCACTTGAGCAGGTTCCGATTCCCTACTTGATGTTAAGCAAGTGTACTGATAAGTAGACAACAAGATTCATAAGTAAACAAGCAAATCCTAAACTAATAGTGCAGTGAAAATTGAGCCCCTACAGTTAACATATAAGCTAATCACTACATGCTGCAACAATCAACTACAACACTAAATTGCAACAAGTTTCAGTTTTTTCAGTTAATAATACATAATTATTTGGCGAATCAAGACATTGACACTTTACGAATTATTGACTCTCCATTTTCAGTGTCACTTCACATGCACTGCAAGAACCATAAAAAATTGGAAAAGCATGCCTACTGCTCCAAAAAATCTGTAGGTCATCATCTTCAGCTAGATTCCAGCACCAGTATCAAAGCATGGCCATGATTTGGTAACATTCAACAAGTTTTTTTATCATAATAATCATTTAATTCAAGTTGAGGACATGGCATTCAATTCCAGTTATAAATTGATACTAGCCGATAGAAGGAAAATAAAAATATTAAGCAAGAGAACATTAAAAATTTAGTACTTCGAACTTGCAGTGTGAATTTCTCCAGAAAGCATTTTGTGGCAAGAGGACTATGCTATAACACATGGTGCTATCGCTAACTGATGCAGTCCAGCGAGCTTAGCTATACTAATTGATTTTTCAGATGAAACAAATTTTTTTTAGACTAGAGAGCGTGTCAAGAATCAAGATGACATGGACTATACAAAACTACCACCTTTTAAAAAAAACTACATAGTACATATATTCACTCCCAACCAAAATCTACAGAAACACCATTAGCATTGTATGATAATCAAGTCACTCGATTTCCCATTTTGATTGTAAATTTGAGATCCATTAGTACATAAATGCATCTCCTAGAATATGGCATGTCAGAACTGTAGTTCTCTTTAGTTCACCAAAACCAATACAAGGAGCAATTGTTCAAATCAGCGTGTATACAAAAGGAGAACTCTCGGCACTCAGCATTGTGTATCTCTTGCCTTGCAGATGCGCAAGGGGCACTCTAACCAGCACAAACAAGCAATAATTTCTGTCATGGGTCGCCCAAAAAGCTGAACTGATTCCAGAAGATCCAAAACAAAGTGATGCGCCTCTCATCACTACCATGAAACAAACAAATACACAAAATGATCTCGTTTGCCTAGCTACTGCAGAGTAAACAGAGAGATGTAATTGAGTGTCTGTATTATTTGCCGCAAGCACACAGACCTTCAGCGAACAGGGGATCAGACTTCAGATCCAGTGGGCAGCGAAGGCAACAGATGACCGAAGTGAAAGTTGGTCACGAGGCCGAAGCTGGAGACCTGGGACCGGCCGGCCCCTCGACGGATAGGACGAATCAGCCAGAACCCTATCAAGAACCCTAGCGCCAGGGACAGGGAGAGAAGAGGGCAAGAAGAGGGCTTACAGGCGAGAAGGTGGCGGAGATCGTAGATGTTCGATGGGTAGCGGTCGCCGTAGCCTCGTGCCGCGCCGTCGCCTCCCCTCGGTGGTGCCGCGCCATCGCCTCTCATCGCGTCGAACAGGTTTCGTTCCGGACCTATGAGGGTCCGGTTTCGTTCCGGGTGGAGGAGGGGGCAAAATGGCCCGGATTGACCGAGTTTTATTCCGGACCGAATCTAGCCGGACGACTATTCTTGGTCCGGCCTGGATTGAAACCGGGCCTATTCGATCCGGGTGGAACAGGCCAGGTTCCGGGCCAATCCGGCCTAACCGAACGAGGCCTTAGGGCTTGTTCGGTTACTCCAGATTGAGTGCCTGGAATGATTCCTGGTTGGATTGGTTCACTAATTTATATAGCGTTGATGAACTGGAATAGAACGGAGCCTTACAGAGTTGTTACCAAAGTCCGCTCTTGTAACAGTGTCGTCTAGCTAGACACAGCACAGCAATTATATAGTATAGTTCTGTTTGTGAATGATTTCGCGCGGTCAGGGAGGAAACGCAAACGGAACATGTCCAACATGGTAGTAAATATACAAACGACCGCCTATCCAAAAAAAAAAAAAAGTAAATACAAACGACGGAACCATGTTCAACATATATATAGTAGTAAAGTACAGAGACAAACCTCCAGGTAAAACCGTGCTTCACAAAAAGAGACAACGCAACACAAGCATATGATCAGAAACCATCACGTCTCACCGAGACAATTGGTTGATTTGTTCACAACAATAAGTGTCTAATAACAAAGCTCTGGAGTCATCATAATTCACATCAAATATGTCAGTGCACATTGCAGAACCCCTGCACATCGGCCAACTAAGCATGTAGTTTGTTTTGACATGTACCAATAATAACATAACCAGCATATTACAGCAACGGATAGAACAAAACGTGGCTGATCGATTTACCATCAGTACGACCAGATTACACAAGATTAACACCAAAAAGACTATTCAATACATGAATATAAAAAGTAAGCAACCATCACCACAATGGGCAAGCAAAGTTCAGGATTATTAAAACCAAGTTCCGATCATGTCCAACAATTGGGCTCTGACGGGCAAGCACTCAACCTAAACGCAAGCAGACTCAGGGGTCCAGAACGAGAGGCAGCTCAGTACTTGTAGTCCTTCACGTGGAGGCTCTCCGAGACACCCTCGCCGGCAGCAGCGTCACCCTTGTATGTGCCGAGGGTGGCCTCTGAGTTGGCCTTGCACCTGGTGAGGAAGGCAGCCCTGGCCTTCTCCACATTCTCCTCCTTGCCAGCCCAGGCCTTGAGGGTGCTCGCCTGAAGGGCACGGCCGAACGAGAAGGATAGGGACCACGGCTTCTTGGTGTTGAGCTTGTTCATGGCGTTCAGGTTTAGGGTGGCCTCCTCCTCACTCTGTCCACCAGAGAGGAAGACGATGGCGGGCACAGCAGCAGGGACAGTCCTCTGGAGGGCACGGACAGTGTACTCGGCAATCACCTCAGGAGCCACCTTCTTGGAGTCGGAGCCGGGGGTGACCATGTTGGGCTTCAGGAGGGTACCCTCAAGGAGGACATGGTGCTCGTTGAGGGCCTTGTAGCAGGCAGCAAGGACAATCTCCGTGACATAGGCACAGCGCTCAATGTCATGTGGCCCATCGACGAGGATCTCAGGCTCAACAATTGGCACCAGACCGTTCTCCTGGCAGATGATGGCGTAGCGAGCAAGACCCTGGGCGTTCAAGTCAATGGCAAGCTGTGATGGCTCGTTAGGGCCGATGTTGAGGACGGCACGCCACTTGGCAAAGCGGGCACCAGCCTCGTAGTACTTGGCGCAGCGCTTGCCAAGGTCATCATGGCCCTGGGTGGTGGTCTCCTTGTTGGTGCCAGCAACCTCAATGGTGCCCTTGTCAACCTTGATGCCAGGGAGCACACCTCCCTCATTGAGGACATCGACGAAGGGCTTGCCATCCTTGGTTTTCTGGTAGAGGGTCTCCTCGAAGAGGATCACACCGCTGAGGTACTGGAGGGCACCAGGGGCACAAAAGAGCAGCTCACGGAGGGCACGGCGGTTCTCCTCAATGTTCTCGACATTGATGCTTGAAAGGCGCTTGCCAATGGTGCCCGTGGACTCATCAGCAGCAAGGATACCCTTTCCAGGGGTGCCAATGTATGCGGCGTTCTTGATGAGCTCATCTGCAAAACAATCAGCAAATATGTTTAGCTAACAAGCAGTACATATTGATAACTCAGATCACAATCAATAAACATGGTTCATGTAACAAATATATATTAGCTAACACTGACGTGCTGGAAGTATAACTCTCCAGAACTATTGAAACATAAAACTGTGTAACATTGTGACCAACCAAATTGAGAATAAATTAACACAATATATATCCCACGAGTATTTTCTTTACAGATGTGACTAATAATGAAGACAACGACGTCCTTGCATAGCTCCATTCTAGAAAACAAGAATGACACAGTGGAAAAAGGCATATATATTTTTAACAACAACAACCAGGTAATGTCATTTGAATCTAGACCACAAACCACGAGCAAATGCTAGCAAGCTAACTTGATAATTATGATACTAATATGTATTGTATCCACCATGATGGAGACACATAAAAACTAGGCAGACACATACCGCTAAGCATTACATACCGCATGGATCTGAATAAAAATCAGCAAATCCCATAACAAATTGCATCATAAAGGCGCACTACCTGCCCTTTCAACAAACCACGAAGCCCCTAAAGCTATGCGGGTAGACGATACCCATCATAGCAGACTGCGCGGACCCTAGCAAATTTGCACAAATCCTACGCCCAAAAGGATCTAGAAAAAAAGCTCTATCAATCATTGGCATATCCATCAACACAGGATAGGTTAGCTAGATCTGAGAATACCACAGCGAACGATTAGCAGATCTGCACCACACAGTACAGCGAACAACAACAGAAGCATATGAGCAAGGAACGAACGAGAGGAGGTGATGATTGTACGCACCCTTGTACTTTCCGCAGTAGGCCGACATGATCGATGCGCGCGGGAGGGGAGGCTACGGGAATTGCAAGGGAAATTGGGGGCGAATGGCTGAGCGGGGTAGGCGGCGATGGAGATGGGGGGGTAGTATTTCAAGGGAGGTTCAGGCTTGTGCGAGGGGAAAGAAACGGGATCCGATCTGGGTGCGCCACCAGGAACGTGCAGGCGGCACTGCGGACGGTAGCGGATGCAGATCCATCAATGTCCGGAGTTCTCCATATTTCCGTCCAAAGCCCTCGGTTTTTTGCGTGGACCCGTTGTTTTGTTTCCTTCGTCTTTCAAGATGTAAGGGGCCGTTTGATCCTTTTATTTTAAATGATTTAAAATTTACTTAATAGATTAAACTATTTAGTTTGGAATTTGATATTCCATAACTTTTCTAAACTCACAAATAAGCCTTTCTCAAATTTATAGGATAAAAATATATTTCATAGATTATTAGGCTATAATTCTACTCTTTAACTTATAGCACATTCTTCAACTCACTTTTCTATAATAGAAATACAACATATAAATATGTCCCTGGTATGTCTAACAATAAATATACAAATATATTTCATATATAACTATATTAGCTTAACTAATCTATGCCTAAATTATAATTATTATAATGAATTCAATTTCAAGGTTTCAAACGGGTTTTTTTGAAATTTATTTTTAATTATTATTTAAAGAGTTATTTAAATAAAAATTGATCTTTATATTTTTTTACTCTCTAAAAGCTCTTTTATATATCTTCTATGTCCTCTAGAGAGCTAACTCTGCTCTCTATTTTTAGCTGGCGAGAAATTTGAAATATAATATGGTAATATTCAATGATCTAATTAAAAAGGATTTGGAGAATAACTTTTCAATAAAAAAATGTCTACTTTTAACAATTAGAAAAGGATATAAAGAGGTTTTTAAATGTGTTTACCATAGTGTACTCACTTGCTATGTTTATCTATCTATCATATCTATATCTCTACTCTATAATAACTATTTATATCTATATCTATATTTAATAGTAAAGAGTGAAATTTTCTTCTTTCGTTACTTAGAAGAGTTTCCAACATACTATGTCTATATCTATAAGACTACATTTGTTTCTATACATCTATCTATCTATCTATCTATCTATCTATCTATCTATCTATCTATCTATCTATCTTTTTCATTACCTAGAAGAGTTCCCAACATACTATGTCTATATCTATAAGACTACATCTATTTCTATACATCTATCTATCTAATATCAATGAGAGAAAATTTCTTCTTTCATCACTTCAAAGAGTTCCCAACATATATATTCTCTCCACCGCGAATCATGACTGTGTATACTTTCTAATATTATTGAAAATTTACTTTTTAGTTTTGTCATATTTCTTAATTTATTTTTTCTATTCCATTCCATCTACTTGTTTTTTCTTTTGGGTTTTTTTGCTGGTATATATCTATTTCTAAGTTTTTTCGTTCCATTCGCTTCATCAATTTCTTTTGTTTCTATTCCGTTTCATGTGCTTAGTTTGTTCTTTCTTCCGGTTTTAGGATTTTGTTTCGTTTGATTCCGTCTATCGCACGGTTTTCTTCTGACCGATTCCTCGATTTTTAGTCAGTTGTTTCGGTTACGGTTCCTTGATTTTTTTTCTTTCATACTTTTCATTTCGAATACTTTTCGTTTTGATTTTTTTTTCTCTTAAAGGTGAAACAACCGACAAACAATAAATATGTATTACATGCTTTTGATCTATTGACCATTCTCTAAGGAACAAAGATTTTAACCATCAAATTATTGATATAGTTTTGATCGAAAAAACTCATATTAGAACATGATCAATCGATGGTCCAACTAATCAAGCCAAGAATTAAAATCTTAAATAGTTTATTGTCCAATTCAATCTAAATAAATGTATCTTCAAGTTGTACGCATAACTTATGTACTAGTGCAATCACCGGTGAGCACTGCCAATCGATAGAGGTTTCCTGTCATAACCATCAACAAACCAATTCTTAACACGTCAGCAGCTAACTCGTTGCCACCTTTAATCAAAGATTAGAATTGAAGATTTTTATGGGTCTTCAAAAGAAGCCACAGAACTTAATATTTAACTATACTGATATATGGATAGTATGAAAATCAAAGTTATAATATATTTACGAGTAAATATTTATGTGTTTTATAATGAGAAAAATATATTAAGATTGTATTTAAATTTTGATATAGATTTAATAGGACATTAGCATATTATTTTCTATATTACCTTATATTATAGCTATCATTGGTCATCAGAAAATAAAATTACAATATTTAAAATTTACGGAAAGAGTAAAATATAAATAGGTAATGTATCTTTATTTTTTTTAGAAATGTTTGATAGTTTTTTTCGTTGCTATATTTGTTATTAGTAAATTAAATAAAAATGGCATGAGGACCGCTTTACCAAGAAATCATTATTATTCATTCCAACTCGTGTCCGGGCCGGGGTGGCGGGGACCCAAGTCCGAACGGAAAAGTCGTCCTCCCCACCCCACCTCACCCCACGGGTTCCATGCCTCTGGCTGTGGCCGCCAAGTGCGAAGCAGCGGCGCAATCTACCAAATCCTAGGAGTACACCTGTACGCGCGTTGTCGCGGCTTCAATACGAGCGCGACGCGAGTAGAACCGTCGTCGGTCGCAACTCGCAACGCAAAGCAGTTTCCGGAAGGTCAACCGTCAACCTAAACTTGGGGGCGGCGGCTGCACGTCCAGGTCAGGTGGACACTACCCGTAGACAGGACCGGACGAGGACCCGGAACATCTCGCAAGTGCGACACGGCATCTAGACCTTTTGGGTCGACGTCGCCGCCTATCGTGAGTTCGTGTGACTGGTATTCGGTCGCAGCTTTCCTTCCTTCCCTTTTCTAGACTAGAAAAAAAATGACATTGCAGCTTCCGCTTTTCATTCAGAGTTTGTAGTGCACGAGGTGGTTACTGCCCGGGCCAGTCACGATACCATGCATTATTCATTCCACGTGCCCTGGTCAGGAACTACTACAAGCCAGCCTCAGCCGGAAAGCCGAGCAGCACACAGCACCGATGGTAAGAAAAAGGAACACACCAACACATGTACAGGGTGTGTTTGGTTCTCTTCTCCGTCGAGCCTGGCTAGCGAAAACAAGCCAGACTAGCTCTACTCAGATTTAACCAATCCAAGTGCCACTGGTTTGGTTGCTCTCCTATAGGTAAGGCTGGATTGGTTAGATCTTGTTTGGTTGCCAGGCTTATTCGGGTGCATCCACCTCATCTTTGCATTAGTGAACTTACCTCGCACCGAGAGCACCACTGCACAAACGCCGTGGGAGGGACTGCAGCAGCCCAACACGGACACAGGTTGCAGCAGGCTAGCACCATGGACGACGAACCTTGTGCTCAATCGATCCTCTGCACTGCCGCTCATGACGACATGGACGCGGACCTTGGGGGAGGACGGCTTGGTGGGTTCAAATCCGCCCCGGCCGGGGCGGCCACCACCGGTGATCGAGCCCGGACGGGAGAGCTCCCACTTGTCTCAGTCTCCTTTGTCTCCGAGCGCTGGTGAGCTCGCCGACGCGCCAACACCACGCGGGGCTTCTCCACCGCCCGCCATGGAAGCTCGTTGACCTCCATCGAGCCGCACCACATGCTAGCACCCCTACTGCCTGCCATAGAAGCTCATCAGCCTCCATCGAGCTGCATTGCATGTGAGCACCCCCACCGCTCGCCATGGAAGCTCGTCGACCTCCATCGAGCCGCACCGCATGCGAGCACCCCCACTGCCCGCCATGGAAGCTCATCGACCTCCATCGAGCCGCACTACATGCGAGCACCCCCACTGCCCCGCCATGGAAGCTCGTCGACCTCCATCTTCGCCATCTTTGCTCCCTCATCCACCTGAGCTTCATCTCTCCCTCATCCACTCGAACTTTCTCTCTCATCCACCCAAGGTCAATCAGGGGCCGAGCGAAGATGGCGGGCGAAGGAGCGGAGCGGCTCTTCATGCACGAGATCCCAAGGTCATGAGGGGACGGGCGGAGATGGCTGAGCAGAGGGGCGCCATTGCTCAACGGGGCTAGCCATGCGGACACCAAGCGGCTAGAGCCGGGCGGCGGCGGTGGCAGATCTTTCGATTTCGTGAGAGAGAGGAACACCGAGAGGTGAGACAAGCGTGGGCCGGAGCCTGGCTACGGGAAAACACCCGACCCCCTCATTTCCGCTTAGCCTGGCTATGGCCTCTCCCTAGCTTGCGGGAGCCTCGCTACGACTGCTTTACAGCCTACCAAACAGGCGAATGTTGCATTCCCAGAGCCTGGCCAAGGGTTGGCCAGGGAATATAAATGTCCATGCAGCCTGAGGCACGGCGACCCGACACAAAGCCTGAAAGCTCTAGTTTGATTTTGGTGAATTAATGAAACCCTAAGTGCTAACCTAGTTTATTAAAGTGATCATGAGATAGGTAGCACATTCCAAGTGGTGAAGCAAATGAAGATCATGACATGATGATGGTGATGCCATGGTGATGATCAAGTGCTTGGACTTAAAAAGAAGAAAAAGAAAAACAAAAGGCTTAAGGCAAATGTATAAGTGGTAGGAGTCATTTTGTTTCGGTGATCAAGACACTTAGCAAGTGTGATCACATTTAGGTTCGATAGCTGTTGGTGTAGAAAGTGACCAACACGTAAATATTTGTTGTTTTGCCGTATGTTGTGATCAGATGTGGCCTAGCACTCAATGACACAGAGTTTATACTGGTTCAGGCAACGTGCCCTACGTCCAGTCTGAGTCGGTCGAAGACTTTATTCCTGAGCCCAGGTGCTCAAAATTTGCTATGGGGTTACAAACGAGAGGGAGTAAGATGGGGGGTGCAAGAGGTCCGGTCGGGCTCTGGACTGAAGGGCCGAGAGGGACCGGAGCTCCTACGTGTGCTAAGTATTTGAGCGTGTGCTCTGTTGGAATCGTTCGAATCGTAGGTTGTTCGATCCGCTGGTGGTTGAATC